CCCTGGTACTTGCCTCTGTACCCTGATCATGTTTGCTTGACTTACGACTCCTGGGTCTTCCTGCCGGCCTTACTGTGTTTCCTTGGACTGGCTTGGCCTTCCTGGTTTCTGTCCTCTGGTTTCGACCCACTGCGGTTCTGGACCGGTCTCATTCTGGCTTCTCGCCTGGCAGATCGCCTATCCTTGCCTGCACCTGGATCCAGCATGAAGCCCCCTGACCGCTGTGCCATGCTGCAAGTGCTGCGGTGTTGTGCCCAGTGGCGGGCAGCGTGGGGGCCGGCGGCGGTGTCTGAGCCTGACCCCTGTCCAGCTGCCGCCCCGCAGAGCGCAGGAGAGTCAGCAGACACACTGTCTCACAGACGCTTTCATCTTTTATTGATACGTGTGTTTTTGTGATGCTATGCTCTTGTCATGTGGGCGAGCAGATGGACAGCAGACGCTCACAACACAGAGCCGGACTGACCGATGGGGTGGACGGGTCAGGGCAGGTGGGGGTGAGAGAAGGGTAGAGTTAGAGACCAGGAGGGGGAAGGAGGAGCACCAACAGAGGGAGGAGTAGGAATGAGAGGGGAGAGTCCAGGGAGAGAGGTGGTGAGATGGACAAGATGGCCATTGTTTTGCATGGTGATGTGTTTCCTCCAGCAGGGAGGGACCCTGTCCCTCTCGCTGTCACACGCAGGACCGTGGGTGTGGTGGACAAGCAGCTCGGGGGGTGGACGGCTCAGGGACACTTCCTCTCCACACTCTCTTTTCCCCACTCCTCGTACTCCTGCTTGGAGATCCACATCTGCTGGAATGTGCCCTGGAGAAGAGTGGACACACTGTCTGACTCACTGGACATGCTGTTGGACATGCTGTCTTCATACTGAACACCCTGATGCAATGGACACACTTGACACATGAGCTACATCCTGGACACACTGACTCACTGGACACACTGTCTGATTTACTGGACACACTGACCGACACAGGAGACAGACACACTGGACACACTAACAGAGGTGTGAGATACACTGGACACACTGTCTCCTCGGTGTCTCACCAGGGATGCGAGGATGGAGCCGCCGATCCAGGGACTGAAGCGTCTCTCCATGGAGCTGTTACTGGCAATGAGCTTCAACCGCATGCTCTACGGACAGGGACAGGGATAGGGATAGAGAGAAGGATAGGGAGAGAGAGGGGAGAGGGATACAGGGATAGGGAGAAGGGTGGGAGTGGAGAGAGACACAGGGATAGAGAGAAGGATGGGGAGAGAGAGAGACAGGGGAAACGGATACAGGGATAGAGGGAGAGGGATACAGGGATAGAGAGACACGGAGAGGGAGAAGGATGGGGATAGAGAGACAGGAGATAGGGTGAGGGAGAAGGAGACAGGGGAGAGGGGGAGACCAGCACAGAACCATGAGGTGGACAGAAGGGTGAGGAGGAAAGAAGAGGAGAGGGGATTAACACAGACAGACTTGGTAGGAGCTGAGAGACTGTGCTGGGGGGGATGTCACTCACCGGGGGGGCCTTCTGGGACAGCTCGCGGTTCAGACGCTCGGTGAAGCCCTGGAGCAGCGTGTTGCCACCGGTTACGATCACACTGCTGTACAGACCCTGCAGACAGACAGCAGACAGAGACACACTGAAGGACTGAGAGAGAGGCAGACTGACACTGTACAGAGCCCGCAGACATACAGCAGACAGAGACACTGAAGGACTGAGAGAGAGACAGACTGACACTGTACAGAGCCCGCAGACGGACAGCAGACA